AGTTGAGCCCTCCCCCAGCCCGACAAGGCGGCCTCGTGCCCATTTTCCAGATGAGGAAAGCGAAGCTCAGAGGGTGCTCACTCACCCAAACCCACCCAGGCGGTGGCAGAGCCAAGGTCTGACCCCAAGGCTAGGGCTCTGGAGCCCAAGTGACATTGCTGGGTGGACAGACAAGTCAGGGAGGCCCAGGGACGGGGCGGGGGCGGGGGGCCAGCCGCCCTGATGGCCTTCCCCGTCTCAGGCTCTCGGCCCCGGGACTGTCTGGACGTCCTCCTGAGTGGGCGGCAGGAGGACGGCGTCTACTCTGTCTTCCCCACGCACGACCCCGCCGGCTTCCAGGTCTACTGCGACATGCGCACCGACGGCGGGGGCTGGACGGTGAGTGTCCCCCTTCCTCAGCCATTCCAGGCAGGCCCCTGGGGTGACCAGGGCGCTGAGCCCCAGGTGCTCTGAGCAGGCCCTGCCCGGTGCCCCCGGCCCCCGCCAACCTGCCTGTAATCTCACCACGGGGCTGCGCACCCGGGGCACCCGCACTCGGAGGTTGAGAGCTGACCCCCAGGGGCCCCTCGGGAGCAGACAGACCCTTCACCTGTCGCCCGTCGGCGGAGACACCTTCCTGCTCCCTGCTTGAGGCTCCCCGAGCAGCGTCCCGGGCCGGCGGGCTGGGCCCTGGGATGGACGGCACCTGTTGCTAATGTGCGCTCAGGGCGAGGCCTGTGGGCTCTGACTTTCCTTCCCATCCTCGCGCCTGCGGGAGAGAAAAGGGGGCGCGTGGCTGCTGGGGGCAGAGACCCGGATGGTCTCCTGGTGGGCGTGGGGTTGTCCCCACTTCCCTGCGCCTCTGGTCCTGCCTGGGTGGGACGTGGGGGTGATGAGAGGTCCTAGGGCAGTGGAGGGCAGGGCCGGGACTGTCACCAAGCCCCTCTGCCACAAGCCCCAACATCCACGCACAGGCCTGACGGGGCTCTCGGTCCTGCTGTGGGAACTTGGGCAAGTTCCTTAAGTTCTCTGAGCCTCCCTCAGGTGTGAAATGGGGACACCCACCTGCCTCACTTCGAGGTCCTAACTACAAGGAACAGAAAGTGGCTGGTTAAAGCAGAAAAGGGGTGTACTAGAGGGAAGCCCCGGGGAGCCCAGAAACCAGCTCAGGGCCTCACAGTCAGGAACAGAGACCCCAGGCCCGGCCAGGGGTGCTGAGAACCCCACTGCCCCAGGGGTGCCGAGTGAGAAGGGCAGGCGGGGGGTGAGGTGCCATTAGGCTCAGATGTGAGAGCGCCAACCCCCCCAGGCCCAGAGACAGACAGACCTTAAACCTCTGTCAGCTCCAGAGGAGAGATATAAATGCACTGGATCCACGTACGGGGCTAAAAGCTCTTTTGTTTTCCTAACTCAGAACATCTGAGTTATGGTGTTTGCCTCTGGGATCCCCTTGGCGGGGAGAACACACCAACCACCAGCCAGAGCCCAAAAATCAGAGTTAAGGGTTAGGACAGACTTAATGAAAGAGCTAGACGCCGGCCCGAGCGGTGCGTCCTCACTGGGGTGCCCTGAAGCCGGTCTCCCCCGGAGTCACTCAGGAGCTGGGCCGGGGAGGGGGCAGCTCCCGGGGCCGCGGCTTCAGGGCCATGAGAGTGGGGTGGGTGCGCAGCTGTGGGTGTTCAGGGCGGGGTGGGCCCACCCTGTGGTCAGGGGGGAGTGGGTGAGCAGCTGCAGGTGGTCAGGGCGGAGTGGGTGGGCCCCACTCTCCCACTCAGACAGCTGGGCCTGGCCCTGGGAGAGGCCCCCTCTGCTGAGAAGCACTCTCGCAGCCAATAAACGTTCATATCCATTTGGGCCCAGGCAGAAGCATTCTTCTCCCAGATACCTCTGGGCATCTGTCAGGATCGCCTCCCCGACAACCCGAATCTCTCGGAAACTCAGTTGTTGTTGGGAGGGAGCCGGCTGCCTCTCTGGCTGATGCCATCCATCCCCATTAGGTTCCGTGTCCAGACTCTGGGCCTCGAGCGCTGACCCTGGGCGCTGTCCCCGGTGGACAGGGCGCCGGGGCTGCTCTGCCCGCAGAGCCTGCTTCCCAGAGACGGGCGGGGCCGCTTGTGCCCCACACAGCTCAGTCCTCCCTCCAACCCCGGGGGGCTGGCCTGGCAGCCTCAGAGAGGGCAGGAGGTTTGTCCAAGGGCACCCAGCAAATAAGCAGTTAGCCCAGGCCTCCTGAGGCCCAGGCTCACACAGGGCTGTGGACCTGGCAGCCCCACGGCGGCCACACGGCGGCCACACAGTGGTGCTCACTGATTCGCAGGTCCCACCACTGGCCAGAGCATTCAGCGGCCAGCCTGGCGGGGAGCTGGACAGGTCAGCTGCAGGACTGGGGGCCGGGGGGAGCCCAGAGGAGAGCCCCTAACCCAGCCTGGGCAGCCACAAGAGGCTCCCAGGCGAGGGCCCAGGTTCTGGGGGATGAGGCGAGAACAGTGCTCCAGGCAAAGGGAACACGTGTGCGGGGGTCAGCAGGGAGGTGGCGGGGCTTGTTCTGGGACGGGGTGACCCGCTCAGCTGGTATATGGCGCTTGGGGAGCCGGGACGAGGTGGGGGAGGTGGGCAGGGGCGAGGGAGTGTGGGGTTGTGCTGGCGCCTGAGGATTTGGGCTTTCTCCTGGGGGCAGAGTGGGCTCCTGTACTCGGGATTTGCCCACGGAAGGAGTGGGCCAGAGCCGTGGGGCCGAGGGGACAGTGGGTGTGGGGTGCAGTTCAGGAAGCATGAATTCCGTGGGCCCTGAGTCCTTGCTGCAGAGCGGGAGCCACCACGCGGGAATGAGGCCAGGTGTGGCTCCTTGGGGTGGGGAGGCCCAGGGCAGATGGACACACACCTCAAAGTGGCCTTTCAGCTGATATGGCTGCTGGCTGTGGCTGGGCCCAGGCCTCCTCTCCAGGTCCCCTCCCCTCGACTGTGAGGCTGTAAAGTCACCTCCTGGGATGTCCCCTTCCTCACCTGGCCAGCAGGTAGCCCTCTTGTCTTTTTTTTTTTTAAATCCTCACCTGAGGATATTTTTTCCATTGCTTTTCAGAGGGAGTGGAAGGGAGAGAGAGAGAGAAATATTGATGTGAGAGAGACGCATCAATTGGCTGCCTCCTGAATGCCCCCTACCCAGGCGACGGTCAAGCCAGCAACTGAGGCGCATGCCCTTGGCCAAAAGCAAACCTTCAGTCGGCAGGCTGAGGCTCTAACCACTGAGCCAGTCCGGCCAGGCCAGACCCTCTCATCTTGCTGAGCCTCCTTGCAAGGCCTGGGTTTTGGGTGGTCGGAAGGAGAGTCCAGGCACAGTCTGCCCTCACGGAGATCTGCCCGTAGGGGCACTGACACCCAGGCCCGATTGCTGTGCCCCCAACTTTGCATCACCACCAGTCAGGGTCACAGAAATCGGGTCCAGCTCAGCATCTCCCACCGCAGGGACCTGCAGTAGGATTGGTTCTGCTCTCAGCCCCTGCTCAGATCCCCGGTGCAGCCGGCTGCCCCCCAACGCCGTGAGCTGAGTGGCCCAAACCCCCATTCTGCATGGTGTCCACACTCTGCCAGGCATCTTACTGTTGTCATCGGCTCAAACAGACCCCTGATGGGCTTCAGTGAGGGAGAAACCCTCCCCACGGTGCCTCATTCCCTTCTACCTGAGCTCCCTGGGGAGGCAAATCCTGCCTCTGCTTAGAAAACATCAAAGGAGCCATCGGCCAGCAGAGTCCAGCCGCAGCCGGAGCTGCAGGGGGATCAGGCTCAAGCGGAGATGAAATGCTCCCCCGGCCCCGCGGGGCCCGCACAGGCCCCAGCCTGAGACCCCAGGACTGCAGAGTCCACCAGGGCTACGGGTTCCTCCCTGCGAAGGCTGAGGCTGTGGTGCAGGGGGACCTGCTGTGACATCAGTGGGGCCACTGTGTCCCCAGGCTGCACCCCACACACTGCTCCAGGGAGTCTGGAGCCTGCACATGCTGATAGTGACCATGCGGTGACAACACCCCACCTGCCCTGGGCCGATCTGCCTCCGTCCAGAGCAGTTTGGTGTTTGGGACTGTGAAGGCCGCCCAGGTAGTGCCGGGGAGGCTGGGCCCGTGCCTGAGCACTTGCTAAGTGGCAGCTGAGTGGTGTGTGCCGGGTGCCCACTGCCAAGCCCAGGGGGGCCATTTTCAGTCCAAAATAAGGTGGGGGCCCCTGGGCTTGGCAGCTGGTTCTGAAAGGGAGGAAGTGATGTTGGTTAGACCTACTGTGTGCCGCCTGCAGCCCTGCAGGGTAGCAAAGGGGTTGCTGATGTACCTTTTTATAGAGAGGGAAACGGAGGCTCTGAAGGGTTGTGGCTTCTCTGAGGTCACACGCCCTGTGGGAGGCAGGGCCCCGGTTTTCTGGGACCTGTGCTTTTGCCGGCAAGGCCCAGAGGTGTCCTGACGGGATTTAAGGAGCATCTGTGCTCCAGGAAGGCGGGCAGAGCCTCCCCGGGGGCTGCCTTTGAAGGGCTGCATTCCCTCGAACCTCCGCGTTCTTTGTTCTTTAGACAAAAATCCTCCTCAGCCTCCAGCTCCCCCTCCTTCCCCCCAGAATCAGAGGCTGGTGGCCACCACAGCAACACCACCAACACAATGCTGCCAGTAATTGGTTTCCACAGCAGCTTCATCAGAGTCTGGAAAAAATCCCGGACGCTGCCTCCCGAGGACCCTTCTAAGGGTGGCAAAGACACCCGCTCCCCGTCTTATAGGGTTTGGACCCACCCAGTCCCCATCCCTTGGGTCTCAGCAGCTCTGACTACCTGCCAAGACCCTGCTCCATCAACAGTTTAGCTGAGCGCCAACTCCTCTAGGAAGCCTTCCTGGACCACCCTCCCAACCCCAGGGGGTGGCGCATCCTGCTCTGAGCTCCCAGCAAATTTCGCCACAGTTGCTGCCCTTGTGAAATGCTGCGTATCAACCAGCACATCTGACCAGCAGCAGATCCTGTGGGTGCGGCTGTTACAATCCCATTTCACAGATGAGGAAACTGAGGCACAACACCGAAGGAACCTGCCAGGCTGGGAACCTGCCGCAACCCGGGTAGCTCTGCCCTGCGACCGCTGGCTTGTGTGCCTACATCTCCTGGGGCATTGAGCTGTCCAAGGGCCAGAGTTACCCCTGTGAGCCCAGGGACGCCACATGGGGCCTGGGGCAGCAACCCTGTCACTGTGCAGAAGATATGGGCCAAGACTCAGAAGGTCACACCGCCCGCTAGCTGGAGCCCCAACAGGGGCCTGGTCTCCTGGGTGCCAGCCCAGGATGCAGAGGGAGCAGGCGCCATGCGGCTAAAGGTGGAGCTGAGGCTGGCCCGATCCAGCTACGAGGAGGGCCGGGGGCTCCCAGGTGTGGGGGAGCAGT